CTTATTGCCTTATTTTTCTTATTTATTTAAATCTTAGGTTGCATTTTCTTTTAAAATCTAGTATTTCATATAGAAGACATACTTTAGATAGTTTTTAAGGCTATATATGTTGTATGTTAACCTCATTTTCTAGTTTTTTTATCTTTCTTTGTTCCTCTGTACCCTGCAGTCCTTATTGGTCACATTCATCTATTCGGTTATAATGTATTTTAGGGAAGTTAGGGAGGGGAGGGGGGGGGTCACCGTGGCAACCCAAGGGGAGGGGGCAAATAATGTTGAATCATTTATATCTGAAAACTCATTGTGGGCAGTTTTCAGGTATTGGGGGCTATCTTTAGCTGGTAGGATACAGGGTGCATACTGTATAGGATACAGGGTGCATACTGTATAGGATACAGGGTGCATACTGAATAGGATACAGGGTGCATACTCTTTTATATAGTTTGGTTGTATTTTTCATAGTTTGGTTGTATTTTGTATACTTTGGTCGTATTTTGTATAGCTTTGTTGTATTTTGTATAGTTTTGTTGTATTTGTCATAGTTTGGTTGTATTTTGTACAATTTTGCTGTATTTCCTATTGCTTTTTAATTTTTTTTGTATTTGTATGTTTGGTAGATTTAAGGCCGGGGATGGAGGAAGGAGGGGGAATGGAGGGAGGGGAGAGTATAGAACTTGGTTGCACTGAATTATGACCTGTACACTTTCGGTTTTCAAAGAATTAATGAAAAATAGAAACGCCTAGTGTTTTGTTTTTGTTATGAACTTTTTTTAATAAAAAAATAAAGACTGCGTATAGACACTTTAAGAACCGTCGGTGAGAAGGTTCAACAAAGAATTGGTACACTATTCGTGTTATTGGTACACTCTTCTTGCCTCGGTTTACTCCGGTTTGGTTTCATATGGTTTAGATTGGTGTGGTTAGGTTCTCTGTCGTTCGGTTCGGAGTTAGGTTCTGTTTGGTTCGGTTCGGTTCGGTTTGCTCCTAGTGGTAGCTGCGTCTGCAACATCTGTGGGATCTGGGGGAACACTTAAAGCTTTCTTCCCCAGGGTAAAATTTAAACAGTGAGGTTTAAGATTTAGAGGATTAATACTGCATAATAGGATATGTAAGAGGGCGCCAGAAGGGGACGAAAAATATTGTTAAAATTTTTTGATTTGTTAAAATTTAAAAAGCATTAAAAGAAATTGTCAACAATTTCATTGAAATCCTTGTTTTAATTGGATTTGGACAAAATTCGGCCCTATTTTTGGCAAAGGAGGGAAACTTAACTAGAGTTTTGGTAACTTTCGAGGGACCCCACGGTTGGCTAATTATAAAATATAAACCTCTCGATTATCAAGAACATATTGTGAAATAGAACTGGTAAAAGTTGTTCACTAATTGTGTTGAAAGTCCCTTTTGAGTAATGCACCTGATTATCTGATACAATAACTTTCCATGAGGGGGTGGGATGCCCCCCTTCACGTTCTACGTAGTAGGGGGGTGCCCCCCTTCCATACGTAGTTTATCAACTGGGTTTAAATGGTTGCGTGCCCGGGTTTGTTCCCTATCTACAGATTAATCGCAATCAGGTCCCGGAATCAAAATTTAAAATGAAATCGATTGAATTAAAACATGAAACTGTACACAACACAACCATGGTATAATTAAATAGTACGTGGGGTCTGCACTTACAGAAAATTCATTTCAATACAAAAAAAACTTGGACCTTCAGACAAAAACAAAATGTTGATTACTTCAGAAAAATAATGAAAATAAAATCTTCATTTTCATCAAGATATGCAATGTTTCTTGGTGATCCTTTTGTTGATTTTTTCCGCTGCAATACAATAAAGAAATCCCATTTGATCAATCCAATCCTTCTTTTTTCTTATATGTTCGAGGTTAACCCAAGTTCTTATATACACTTGTGCTCCGTTGATTTTAGGATAAATATAAGATCTGAAAAGGTTCACATTTCTACAAATATTTTGAGGCAAAATGTCAAAAACATGAGTAACCAAGGTTTAGATCGTTTCAGATTTCAGTATTGATGTTTTCATGGGGAAGGGGGGGGGGTTAGGGAGGGTAGGAAGGGTAGGAAGGGTTTGGAGGGTAGGAAGGGNAAGGGTAGGAAGGGCAGGAAGGGAAGGGTCGGAAGGGTAGGAAGGGCAGGAAGGGTGGGGACTGGGGAGGTTCAAGAAGAGAATCGAATAATAAAAAAAATATTTTTTAAAAATCTGAAAAACCTGAAAACCCTGGAATCCCTTGAATCCGTGGAACGGTCGATATTTAATTTCCGGACTTGACAAAACTCTAGTTCAAGGTGTGTTTTCTAGAATTTTATTCAACACAACCAATTGATATTGTAATGTTTATATACAGGAAATACAGTCTTGTTTAACAAATGAAAAAATGAGGAATATTTCTAAACAACGTTCCGGAAAGATTATTTTTTCTGTCTCCAATTTCTATTGCAGTCTTCTCTTTCTAGATTTCCCTACCCCTCCCTCCTTTCCAAAGGTTAACCCTCCCCCCCTCCCCTAAGGTTCCCTGTATGTATTTATGTTTGTGACATGTACACTGGTTCTGGCATGTTCAATTGAACATTACAAAGTTAACACGGGATCTAATCTATACAAACCAAACATGAAAAGAATTGTTAACCAATTCAGGAATAGATTGAAATAAAAATCAAAAATGAAAAGGCTTCTACCTCCCCCCCCCTCTCCCCCCCCCATTTTACAAATTTTAAAAAATTGATCTGCTAAAGTTTTTATTTCAATCTCTGATAGTTTTGAGCATTTGAAATTCTAATTGATTTTTAAATTTTAAAAAAAGATTTAATTTCGATTCACAATAGTACTCTTTAATTTTTGTCTGAACAAAAAAGATGGAGAAATCCTTATATTTTTGCCTGTCTGAAAAGTTGATTATTTTCGATTGTGATCCTCTGTAAAAGTGATTTGCGGAGCAGAAACAAGAAACGAAGTTCAAAAAGGAACTGAGTTGTTGACAAAAACTCAGATTTTCTAATCCCTATATCTTTATAACCCGATGTTGTAGACCTTTGATATTCCAAACTGCAAATTCTCCAATATCAAATAACCTATATTCGTGATATCAAAGGTTTCCACCATTTGGTAGAGCTAAGATAAAGGGATTAGAAAATCAGAGTTTGTGACAAAAGCTCAGTTCCTTTATATCTGTTCAAGAAATGAAAATTCGACGATATCTTCATCATTGTTATTCTGGTAAAAAGCTAAATATTATCGTTATGAATTGGCCACGTAACGTTTTTAAATCAAGGGTTATTTGTGCATCTTGGATGGACACCCCCCCCTCCTCCACACACCCCATCTCAACCCAGAAACCTATTATAATATCATGATGGTATTCATTGAACTGCAGATTTGAGTTCCAAAACATTCCAGGAAGTTGTCAAAATTCTTCAAGATTAGTTTCTTAATTTGTCATTTTACTCGCGGACAGACAGAAAATGCGGGATTTTGGGGAAAATCTCCGAGCTCCTGGCGCCCAGAAATTGAGCGTGAAATATGAAATTCGAGTCGCCTGATTTTTCATACAGACCAACCCAGCAGTAACTGCTTGTACATGTTAAATAACATGTAATTTGGCTCTCTGCGTCTGATTGCTCTATCCTCTACCCCAGTCTTTAGAGCAGCAGTATTTGGTTTGCATAGATTTATTGACCTAAGAACTGTTATTAGGGCGGGGGTTGATTTCAACTCAATTCTACTCCTGACCCATTGATACACACTTTCTTTGTTTGAACTAATTTTCTTCGATTTTGTTTTTAACCATGCAGAGAATCTATCTAACCTTCTCCTTTTTTTTATATCCATTCTTCAGGATATAATCCAACCTTTTGAATATTATTCATTATTCAGGATATAATCCATCCTTCTTCAGGATATAATCCATCCTTCTCGATATAATCCATTATTCAGAATATAATCCATCATTCAGTATATAATTAATCCATTCTTCAGGATATAATACAACCTTTAGGATGTTATTCATTATTCAGGATATAATCCATCCTTCTTCAGGATATAATACAACCTTTAGGATATTATTCATTATTCAGGATATAATCCATCCTTCTCGATATAATCCATTCTTCAGAATATAATCCATCATTCAGTAGATAATTAATCCATTCTTCAGGATACAATCCAACCTTCTATTTCCTGTGTATCAATCTTATCTTATATTATCCTAACTTTTTTAATCCCACTTCAATCTTGATTCCCTTGAAATCTGCTTCCCACAGCAAATTTTATCGTATTTATTTTATTTGAAGTTTATCTGGTTGAGTTTAAGGATTGTTTGTGGAATGAGTCAGGTTTAGACGGGGATTAGGTTCAGGAGTAGGATTAGGATCCAGAGCACAGGTTCCACTACACCCGGAGTATCCGTCCAGTTCTCCAGGGAACTTAGATTTACATCAATTCCTCATCCTCAGGTTTAATATATTCTGAAGATATAAACCCTTAACATATCCTACATCTGGCTCCAGTACCCTGATACAACACACAGTTCAGAGGGCAACCCGGAGAGAGAAATCTTATCAACACTTGTATAATTTAATTTAGATAGAAAAATTGTGAGACGGTAAAAAGTAATTTGTAATTCATTAGGCCTAACAAGATATGAATCATTGCAAAAAAAAAAGTGTTTTTTGGGGGAATTTTTACACGCTGTCGAACCTAACTTTTAAATAATCAGTTGTTTTGTTATCACTTACATATAATGATATAACCGGTGTAATTATGTTATAAAATTACATCATGGATAAAACATATGTTTGGGTTTTATTATAACAGGCTATATATGGACCCATTTACTGTCTAACTTTTTACTTTTATACTTTTAACACTTTGTGAAGAAACAAAATATTCATATGGTTTTCATTAAGCTTATTGAACTTAAAATATTTAAAAAAAAAAAACTTATCGAAAACAATAACAATATGTGGTAGGATACAGGGTGCATACTGTATAGGATACAGGGTGCATACTGTATAGGATACAGGGTGCATACTGTTATAAGATACAGGCTACAGGCTGGATAAAAACTGAATTGTTTGTATTTTGTAAAGTTTGGCCATATTTTTGCATAAATTTTCCATAGTTTTTTGTAATTTGTAAAGTTTAGTTGTATTTTTTAGTATTATTTTTTGTATTTTGTACGGTTTAGTTGTATTTCTATTCGTATTTTGTATGGTTTGGTTTTTCTTTTTATTTCTTTTAAGTTATGTTTTTCTTTGTTTATTCATGTTTGTGATGTTTTCTATGGTTTTATAATGTTTTCTATGGTTTTGTTGTATTTTGTACAGTTATGTTGTATTTTGTATAGTTTTGTTGTATTTTGTATTGTTTTGTTGTATTTTTGTTTAGTTTTGTTGTGTTTTGTATAGTTTCATTGTATTTTGTATAGTTTTGTTGTGTTTTGTATAGTTTGGGTGCTTTTTATAAATAGTTTTGTTGTGTTTTGTATAGTTTGGGTGCTTTTTTATATAGTTTTGTTGTGTTTTGTAAAGTTTTGTTGTGTTTTGTATAGTTTTGTTGCATTTCGTATAGTTTGGTTGTATTTTGTAATGTTTGGGTGCCTTTTCTATAGTTTGGTTGTATTTTGTATAGTTTTTATATCTATTTGTAGGTTTGGTAGATCTATGGTGGTTCGATCCGGTTTGGTTCGCTGTGGTTTTGTTTGTATATATATATTGCGTATATTTTGTATATTTAGTTGTATTTTGTGAAATTTGATTAAATTTTGTATAGTTTTGTTATATTTTGTATAATTTGGGTCTATTTTATATAGTTTGGTTGTATTTTTTATAGTTTGGTTGTATTTTTTATAGTTTGGTTGTATTTTGTATAGTTGGTCGTATTTTGTATAGCTTTTTGTTGTATTTCGTATAGTTTTGTTGTAATTGTCATAGTTTGGTTGTATTTTGTACAATTTTTCTGTATTTCCTATTGACGTTGGACGGTCAACTTGCAAATGTGAATCTAAAGGTAACATGTTTTCAGTAAAGGTTTAAGCCCCAAGAACTATGGCTCCGAGACGTGTTGTTAAGAGTTTATTGTCTCAGAGTATGAATAAACTAGTTTTATCTATCCAGGAGATGATTGACAAGGAGAGAAGCCTGTACTATATACACCATGAGCAAACCAACCATGTCACCGAGTTTATCCGACAAGAGGTGAAGGATCAAATGAAGATTTTTCTGTGTGAAACCCTTCCATCAGATTTGCAAACTAAACTCATCTCTGAGCTTATTTATCTCAATAGTTTAGCTTCTCCTCATCTCGTTCTTGATTTACTTTTTACAGAAAGATTAAGAAAATTTACATTCGAGTTGACCAAGAAGAGTTGGATGGCTGGAGGTAATGAGTTGATACGAGTTAGTGAGGAGGATATCTCCAGGTGTTTAAATACACTGGACTCTGTGCTAGGAGAGCTAGGTGGAGAAAACCTTTCCCTGGAACAGTTCTATATCATTGATAAATCCCAGGATCCAGATTTCCAGGGGGATCCCATCAACAACATGACCAACACCAATCTCAGCGTTGACAACAAGGTTGGGGACTGGGCTGGGATCATGACCAGGCTCAGCAGCCTTTCCGGTCACCTCTCCCTAGCTCCAAACCTGACTCATGTAGTTCTTCCTTTCGCCTCAGATCAGATCCTAGAATATATCTCCAGAATTGCGAACCTGATCCTGTTCCAGAATGTATACCGGAGCACTGTAACCGAGCTGGGTATCCTGGCTATAGCTGAGGGTAGATGTAGGTTCAGTTTAACTCATATAGTTCTCTGCCTCAATACTCATGCTAATGTTCCGTCCTACTGTGTATCCCGGCTCCTGTTGGCAGCAACCAGACTCAGGGTTCTAGAGTTCGGGGGTTCTTGTCATACAAAATCTTTATACTTTCAGGTACACATATTTTTATCGTTTTTGTTGCTGCAAATTTTTATTTTTCTAAAGGACGTTTGGCGTCATTTCAAGAGAACTTCAATTTATATAGTGCCATTTCCGATTCCCAACAGTACCCGGTAAACTTTTGTCTTCTCAATGAGATGGATGAGATATCCTATCTTCCTGAATGTGCCTCAGACAGATGTTTGAAGGGTAGATGGTGAATCGTATATTCCAAACTTTAAATAAAATGTCCCTGAAAGGAGATTTAATTCTGGGAATAATACTGGTTTCATAATAATGTTACTGATTTACTTGTTTCTTCTAAAATCTTATTTGAAAATTTTAGTTATTGGAAAAATTGGAAATTATTTTTTTTACAGGCTATAGATTAAAATTTGCATTTATATTTGCAGGATGAAGATTTTTGAAATAACGTTTTTTTTCAGTGTGGAAATGTAAAATGTATTATTTACAAGGGGAGGTTCAAATTTGTTATTTACAAAGTGGAGATTAAAATGTTGATCTTTACAGGAGTGAGATTTTTCAGTGTGGAAATGTAAAATGTATTATTTACAAGGAGAGATTCAAATTTAAAGTTGTTTACAGGGTGGAGATTAAAATTTATTTATTTACAGGGTGGAGATTAAAATTTATTTATTTACATGGTGGAGATTAAATTTTGTTCTTTACAGGGTGGAGATTTAAATTTAATTATTTACAGGGTGGAGATTAAAATTTAATTATTTACAGGGTAGAGATTAAAATTTAATTATTTACAGGGTGAAGATTAAAATTTAATTATTTACAGGGTGGAGATGCGAAGCGTCGACATGAGATCTTTAACGTAGTCTCAAGACTAGGGGAAGACGACAAATCCTACACCAACTCCCTGGTCCGTATGCTCATTTTCAGGGAGGGGAACCTTCCCGTCTCATTCCAAACCATCCTCAACCATTCTCCGCTCCTCTCAGACTTAACCTTGTTCGGTTGGGAGACCATAAAGGTTAATCAATTATCCTGGATGGAGCTGAGTAGGAACCTTGTTACCCTGGAGCTGATTGGGATAGGTTTCAATACCGACGAGGTTCTAAACCGTAATTTATCCCAGAAATTTGACTGTTCTCTGTTCTCAGAAGCATTGAGCTTGAAAACCCTGAAGATTGCAGGTTGGGGGGATACTCAGGTCCCCCTGGATACACTACTCCGAACCCTACCCAAGCTGCGGTGTCTATACCTGGAGGATATAAAGGTTTCTTTTGATATCAAGTTTCAGGGTCGGAGATGCTTTTTTAAACACGATCTCTCCTCTCTCTGTATCTTCCACTGCAGTACCTCGAACCTAAACCTGATCCAGGTTCTGTGTTCAGCTCTACCCCTACTCAAGGAGCTGACCGTATCCTCTCTTTACCTGGATGATCCGAATAGAGGACTTCCTTTCCATTTCCATATGCCGGGACAGGTAGGAGTTATCAAAGTAAGTTAGAAATGTGCCATGAAGAATTCACAATGGTATCGCTACCATTATTTGATCCCCCCATTTTTAAAGGATTCAAGTTTTTGAAAAGTCAGAATAATGACAATAATAATAATGATGATTTCAGTAAAAATTTCAAAAAAATGTTCAAATCTTAAATTTCCATAAAATGTTTAAATCTAAATTTTATTTTAATGTTAAGTTTATAAATAAATAAATTAACTAAATAAATTAACTTTGTTTAAATTTGTTTATATACAAACGTGGTAAAACTACGTTGATTCTCTTGTCAGCTTTTCAAAGTGTAGGCTGCTTGACACTTATCTCAAGTATTGGCAATCAGGATGTCTTTATAAATTTTAAAGATGTTAATAACTAGACAAATCAACAATATTTTAAACTTTTTATATTTTAGGAGCTGGGACAATCTCCCAGGAGCCCAGTTGCAGATCTCCAGGTTATAGCAGAGCTAGAATACCTGGAAACTCTACACCTCAACGTGACCTATCCTTCCGAGCACCTGGAGCACGACTTTAATCTACCTGTCTTGCTTATCCGTAAGTTTCCTCGGTTGACCCATCTCTACCTGGATAATTATATAAGCAGACGCGGCAGTGTGCTCAGCTATACTTTTGACAGGAAAACTTCGAATAATCGTCTTCAGTGGTTTCTTGATCAATACAATAGAAATATTAGTGTACTTCTCAACTAGCTTAAGAGTAAAATTTGTTAAGTTTATGTACAGTATCAAGTGACAACTCTGCTTTGCAGTACATTTTAGTGACGTAATGTCTAGTTTATTTTGACTACAGTTCAGTACCTGTACAGTTGTTTAACTGACTATTCTTATTTGGAGACAAAATTCATTCAGAACGATCAATTTCTCATTTAAAATAAATAAAATTTTATTCAGATTAGTTTTATTAAACCTGATGTTTTGTTAGAATAAATATAATTTTAAAGATATTTCTTTCTTTGTTAGAAAATATATAGCTCACGATGAATGATTAAAGGAAAATCCGAAAACAGTGAAATAAGCTTTGTCTTCACTATTTATTCTTTTATAAATAAGAAATGTTATTTATGGTCCTAGCTACAATTTCAGTTTAACATAGAACGGAGACCACGAGTCCACTATATTTTGGTGACTACTTTTTATGTTTGCTTATTTTGTGAACAAGAGAAAAGAAAACCTGTTTGACAAAACTGAAACTCTGAGGAATTAGTTGTTGATGGCTTCTAAACAACGAGAATAGTATATATATATTAGAGGGGAATTTACTAGAAAAAAGTGATAAAACGGCCATTTTGTTGTACTGTTTCCAAACTGCAGGTGTACTTCACATATTTTTGCTATATAACCTTTCGGGCCATGGGACATCATTTTATAGAAAATCTAAAATTAATAATGTTAAAAGAAAACCAAATTATGAAATAGGCTGGTTTCATGATTTACCAATGATCATTTCACATAGACTCTTTGCCTTTCACTTTACAAACGCTGATTTTCCGTTATAACTGTAAATCAAATCATAGTTTTTATTCACCTAATTCATTATAAAGTTTATTTAACAGCTTTAAAAATTTCGAAATTGAAATGAATAGTCTAGGGAACATACTGTATTAATGTACTCTACTGCACATAATTTGTGAACATTTACATGATTTGCACACTTTGAACTCCCTTTCAGGCTGAAAGGGACTGAAAAAAATTCATACCGAGAGATTCTTTAAATTCCTCTCTAATATATATTCTATTCTCTATGCTTCTAAAGCTAAACGTCATGTTGAATTGATAATATTTAATTCAAATTATTGTTTCTTACATATCATATGTAAAATATTTCTAACACCACGAAAGACATGTTTGGCATTAAAAATATCAAGGTCTAAAGTTTAAAATTTTTGAACTAAGTTTTTTTTTGGAAAATCCCATTATAGTTTATGTAATTAGTAACTTTTGAGAACATGATAAATTTCTATCTAGTTTCATAGTTTCTAGAATTTTTAAATGTCACATGCAGATAAACACCTTGACCCACTTAAATACTTTCTCGCCTTTTTATATTTTTGTACCTTTGAAGTGCATCTGCAAAAAAAATGAAAAAAAAAAACAATAAAAAAATTCAATTTAAATGTGAAAAGTTTGAGATTTCTCCCTCCATCATCATTCTCTAGGGCTATGGGTGTAGAGAATGTATTTTATGTATGATGAGAACCAGAATATTTGAATTTATCAAGTAAAGATATGTAAAATTTGATATTACTTGTAAATCTATGAAATTTAATATTGTAATGTACAGTGTACGCATCATATAAGATCCAGGCTGCTTTACAAAGTTTCAAGTTTCAAGTTTCAAGACTGGGTCGTCTTTGTTGTGTCGCAACACATTGGCTTTTGATCTTACCTTGCTACCTTTTTTTAACCCTAGATTTGTGTATTTTAAAACTATAAAGCACAATTTGCACATATCTTATTGATTTTTCACGGGAGACCTTGTAATCTCTGGATCACTATTCAATGAGAAATGAGTTATACTTGTATACCTTAATATTAAAGAACAGGATCGAATGTACATTTTGTTATGACTATTTTGTTTACATGACTGGGTGTTTATATGTTTTCTATCATGTGTCTATGTCTACCTCAATATATGTCTCTACCTTGCTCTATGTATGTATATATCTGTCCCTATTTATGTCTTTGTCTACGTCTATGTAGGTGTAGTATGTATTGTATCTGCCTGTCTGTTTGTATTTCTATGCATGCTATGCCTATCTCTGCCTGCCTCAATGTATGCCTTTGTTTGTATCTGCCTGTCTCTTGGTCTGTCTATATGTTTATCTCTGCCTGTCTCTATGTATTTCTCTGTATGTCTCTGCTTGTCTCTATGTATGTCTATGTCTGCCTCAATGTTTGTCTAATTCTGTCTCTGCATGCATCTATGTATGTCTATTTCTGTTTCTATGCATGTTTCATTATATTTGTCATGTCTCTATACATGTATATTGTATAATGCCTGTATTTGTGCATGTCTCTGTCCACCTCTTATCATGTCAGTATCTGCTTGAATCTATGTATGCCTGCCTTTATGTAACTTTATGGCTTTGTGCCTGTATGTCTGTGTCTATGACCGTCTATGTATGGCTCAGCCTGCCTATTCGCATGCCTATGGCTGTCTCTGCCTGCCTCTATGTACGTGTATGCCTTTGTGCCTGTATGTCTGTGTCTATGACCGTCTATGTATGGCTCAGCCTGCCTATTCGCATGCCTATGACTCTCTCTGCCTGCCTTTATGTACGTGTATGCCTGTGTGCCTGTATGTCTGTGTGTTTGTCTGTTTGAAGTTTGGGTCGATATCCAATTTCCTGGATAATAGAGTAGGGGATTCCTGTGCAGGGGGGGGATTCTGTTCCAGGGAAAAGCATTTAATTTTGAAAATTTTGATAATTCACATAATAGTTTCCTATGACCATAATATTCAATTGAAAGACATTGATCCGCTGTCAGGCTGTGACATCCGTATTGTGTTTACTTTACCGCCCAGAGATAGTAAACTGCAATACATAAAATGCGTGCACTGCTGAAATAATTATCTTTACATTATAGAGACTAACATCTACTATTTTTACTGTTTGGTCCATCACCATCACCGAACTTTAAATATATTTGATACATACTATAATAGAACAACTTGTTAGAATACCTATAATATAGATATAATATGTTAAAACAAAAACATATTTATAGACAACACATACAATGCTAGAATAATAATAATAAATGTTACAATAAATTGTGTGACTGTTGCTGTGTGTGTGTGTGTGTGTGTGAAGGGTGGGTCAAGAATGAATTATTTTAGTAGATTTTGTCTTCAATACAAATTGAGGTTGTAATGTGTGTTGTCTAAGTGTCCAGGTTAGAAAATGATAAATGGAAAAATTTCCATGAAAAAATGGTTCTAGCTGCCCTTATCCTCCCCTAGCTAGGGATGAGCAAAGTTCCGTCCATGAATGGCAGGTTTTTGAAAATTAACGGAAGAGTCCGTTGACGAACGGCAAAAATTGTTATTGTTGAAATTGTTAACGAAAGAAAATAGTCGTTCTTGAAAAAAAATAACGGTTTATAAAAAAGAACGAATGTGTTTAAAAATAACGACGACTTTCACATATGTCTATATTTTTTCCATGAAATAATCGTTCACAATTCCTATAATATTTTCCGTTAACGCCATTAATAAAATTGATATCGTTAACGAACGGAAACTTTAAGAAAAAACGGAAAATACTGTAGCTATTGGACTATTTAAATTAACCTTTAACGAACTACTTGAAAAAGGACTAAACGTGCCCAGCCCTATCTCTAGTACAGTGTACACCCGTGCTTCCAGCAATATACAGATAACAAGAACCTATTCTCATTATTCAACATTTTTTTCAAATCTTTCATTTTCGGGGTTTCTCATTTTAAACATAAAATTGAATAAAAAAATAAAATATTGAAATAATTTTGCCATTTTGTCAAAAAAAATCCAATTTTTATTTCTTTTAAGTTTAATAATTTAAAGTTATTTACTTATAATCAATTAAAATTTCAATTCGTTCAAATTTTGATAAAATAAAAAACTAAAATTATCTAATCCCTATATTTTTGCATGCTGATGGTTTAATAAACCTTAGATTTTTTAACCTTCGATTAATTTATTTGATAGAAATCATAGTTTGAAATATATCAGGTCTACAACATTGGGAAGCAAGTTATGGGGAACAGAAATTCAGAGTTTGTGACAAAGACAGAATTCCTTTTCAAAATGGAAAAGGGAAAACGCATTTCTAACACATTTAACGTTTTAAGTATTTAAAGATACAAAAATCATATGAAACACATTTTTTTAAAATTTCTTGATGAAATATATATACAGGATTCAATCTGGGATTAAGAAACGTCAATTTTCTCTTTAACTCTAGGTTAACGAGGGTAGATGGGGCTGAATTGGAACGTGTTAAAAGCTAACATTCCTCAAGCAAATTGTATTTCCATTTTAGCATGTAAATTATAAGGTTTACAGGGAGTAACCCAGTGGTTGGCACAAGCCCTGATCAAAGATTAAACGAAACAATAGATCAGCTGATTCCAAGGATAGAGATTAAGTATATATAAGAATAATATGTTAAAAATATTATAGATGAGGGATTGATTCTCGCCTCAAACTCTAACTTTCTCATTTAAGTAATTTTGCAACATGATGTTGTAAACATTTGAACCTATGCTAAGAAGTTTACTGCTAACTAGAAACTATCCTAAGAGTTTACTCCTAACTAGAGACTTTCCTAAAGAGTTTACTCCTAACTAGAATCTATCCAAAAAGTTTGCTGCTAACTAGAAACTATCCTAGGAGTTTACTCCTAACTAGAAACTATCCTAAGAGTTTAATGCTAACTAGAAACTATCCTAGGAGTTTAAGTTTACTCCTAACTAGAAACTATCCTAGGAGTTCATTCCTAACTAGAAACTATCCTATGAGTTTACTCCTAACTAGAATCTATACAAAAAGTTTGCTGCTAACTAGAACCTATCCTTAGAGTTTAATGCTAACTAGAAACTATCCTAGGAGTTTACTCCTGACTAGAATCTATCCTAGGAGTTTACTCCTAACTAGAAACTATTCTAGGAGTTTACTTTTAAATAGAAACTATCCTAGGAGTTTACTCCTAACTGGAAACTATCCTTGGAGTTTACTCCTAACTAGAAACTATCCTAGAAGTTTAATTTTAAATAGAAACTATCCCAGGAGTTTACTCCTAACTGGAAACTATCCTTGGAGTTTACTCCTAACTAGAAACTATCCTAGGAGTTTACTCCTGACTAGAATCTATCCTAGGAATTTATTCCTAACTAGAAACTATCCTAGGAGTTTACTCCTAACTAGAAACTATCCTAGGAGTTTACTCCTAACTAGAAACTA